CTTATCTTATTTTGAACATTGTAATCTAACTGCTGAAATGCCTCGTCAGCCTGGTTCATCACTAAATCAGACACATCAGTTAAGTTTGTGATGCAGGAAACTTGCTGGAAGTAGACTCCAGAGCCAGGCATGTCTGCTCCACTTTTACTAAGTTTAACAGGGACTGAACCGGCACTCTGGAGTTGCAAGTGTGTGAGCAATTCTGGCCACAGAGGGCAGTATGGTGTGAGTGGCATTTCATTAACTCTGTTAAGGGTCGTTTTAGCACAAACCGGTTCAACAAAATTATTAAAAATATGAAAAAGTTACATAGTATCTCCATAAGTGCCTGGTACCAACCCTCAACATCCCACCCTAAATACAGACACCTACGTGTCCCTGAAAATACCCAGTACCGTATTTTCCGGACTATAAGTCACACTTTTTTTCATTGTCTGGCTGGTCCTGCGACTTATATGACAAATTATGTATAACCCGCTGCTGCCGGCCGACGCCGACCCAGAAATGAGCTCCCCTGTCCCGCTGTGAGGGTTTCAAACACCGCCATCACCTGCTGAAGCCTGTGGCGGGGTGCTGCGGGCCGGCTCCGGCCCAGGAATTGTCATGTTCTGTGTCCCTCTGGTCCCCAGCCCCCTCCTGCTCTCACTCCAGGTTCTCCTCTTGTGTCTCATTATGATCCCCAGCTTTCTCTAGGCTTCCCTTGGGTTTCCTTCTAGTTTCTCCCTGGTAATTCCTATTTTTATATTAGTCCTCCCCATCCCTCTAGTTATTAGTTGTTTATATTTGTCCTTAGTCTTTAGGTTTAGTTACTCCGTGTTTTATAGGTTAATGTTGATCTTCCCTCCTGCTCAGTTCTTTCCCCCCATTTAGTTTACTGAATGCACCTGCCTTCCCTCCTCTCCTCACACCTGTCACCTGTTCCCCGGATTACCTCCCTCTGTTTAAAAGCCCTGTCCGCTCCCTCGGTGTTTGTCGGTTCATTATTGTTGTCAGCGTGTTTTGTTTCCCCCGTGTAAATCTGAAACTCCTGCTCAGTTAGTAACCCTCTGAATCTTTCTTTTGTTCCTGATACCTGGCCTGGCTTCCTGTCCGTGATCTTTGGATTCTACCCTTTTTTTTTCAGTTACACCTGCCTCATGTCGTCTGGTGCTCTGCATCTTGGGTCCTACTCCTCCTGCTCTGAACCTGACAGGAATGAGCTCTCCCCGCCCGCTGGGTGGGTTTCAAACACCGCCATCCTCTGCTGGAGACCGTGGCGTGCTGCTGCACCCTGATTGTTTATTCTGTTATTGTTACCGGTACTTGTCTTGCGATGTGAAACGCTGGGTCTCAGATTTTGTAAGAAAAATAATAAAATTTCCCCCCAAAATGTGACTTATATGTGTTTTTTTCTTCTTCATTATACATTTCATGGCTGGTGCGACTGACACTCCGGAGCGACTTATACTCCGGAAAATACGGTACTCCCAGCCCCTACGTACCCGGTACATGCTCAGTACATATCTCCATAAATATGCACTTCTGTCTGCACAGCAGTTTGTGTTTTTAGTAATCAGTTCAATGACCTTTTTAAATTTTTTGAAATCACGTCTCTTTTTTCTTCTTCTTTTTTTTACGTTACTGCTTCAAATAGAATACATTAGTCTATGGGGGGTGATTCAAATCAGCGGTGATGCAGCAACTATCAGACGCGTAGCAGAAGCAGCGCCACTAAACATAGCATCGAGTTGTGTTTTTGCCACGAGCCGCTTCCGGGATGCAACGATTTCCGCGGTCTATTGCAGCGATGCGATTTCATATCTATGTAGATTACGTCACTTGTAGTGATGTAACGGCTTATTTACTCCCAGCATGGTTCCAGATGTGCAGCGGGGTGTTTTTCGTGGCTTCAATCCTGGCTGTAGAGAGGAACAACATATATGACATCAAACAGCGATATAAAATGTGATTTCCTTCTTTTTGGTTTAATGGCGGATTTCATGTTTAAAAATTAAAATCATAATTTTAATTCAAAAAACAAATCGGTATTTATCACGGCGTTAAGCTGGAAGACGTTGGAAGCCGAACTACGAGAGAAAGAATGAATTAAGAAATGAATAAGTGATTAATGTTTAGGGTAGTGATGCATCGATATGAATTTTTTTTGGTCGATACCGATATCCGATATTAAGATCGCTGTTATGGCCGATAACCGATATTTGCCGATACCGATAAACTGACATTAATGCTTCTACAATCAGCAGATTTTTTACAGAATGAAAATTATTAAAGCTGAATTTACGTTAGGTACAAACAACGCACACATTCACGGTTTTGAGATGGTTTCATTCACTGTTCACATGACTAAACAATCACACATCACCCCCTCACCCTCTGAAACAGGCAAACAAATGGAGACAAGATGGAAAAAAATATTGGTTGTTAATATCGGCCCGGTTTTATTTATGGAACTGACACCTATATGTTAAAAAATGACTAACATCGGCCAATACCGATATTGATGCCGATATATTGCCTATCCCTAGCCTAGTGAACTAGACCAAATTCTTGCTTTGCAAAGTTTGGTCTAGGCATGCTCCATTGGAACCTCAGCAGCTCCTACCAGGACTCTGGCTAGCCAATCATAGCTCTCTAGAGGGGTTTCAAACACATAAAGAGCTGTGATTGGTCCATAATGGTGGGCCAATCATAGTGCTCTATCTGCTTAGTGAACAAATCACAGAGCTTTATCCGCTTTGTGGGCCAATCAGGGCACTCTATATGCCTGGTGGGTGGGATGATGCAACAGAGTGAAACCAGAGTATGTCACATTGATTGTCCAGTGGAATGTGGAGATCATTTGAAAGACAACGGTAGAACCCGCCCCACAACCGAGAGTCGTCAATGGAGCGTTGCCAGACTAAATAATACATTTATTTAGTCTGGCTTGCCAGGCTAGCCTATCTCTAGATTAGGGTGAGGAATATGTGGAGTCTGGAGCTGCTGTTGTTATGGTTACAACTTTAGAAGTGTTGATGGCTCTGATTCAGATTGTGAGAGCTTTAACGAAAAGCCCTTTGAGACCAGTCGTAAGAAATTTGAGACCTACCGTACTTTTAATTTTAGTGTCTCTCAGAATAAAGCTTTACAGTAAAGTACAAGGGTTTGAGCTGTGGTCTGATTACTCCATGCTAATACACGTTATCTAAAACCACTCGTGTTTATATTAAATCTGTAAAATTCTTATCGGGGACTTTTCAAGTACGTTGTAAAAAAATGCAAATATCAGTGGTCATTATAACACAGATCTGGAGCATGTGAGGACATTGTCCTACGTTTTTCAAAAAATGTCCTGCCTGAGACACTCCCACATTGGCCAATCTGGCAGGCAGAACTCAAAAATGTCCATGTACACCGATTTATGAAATAGCTGTTAGCCCACAACATATTAGATGTTGAGGTTTGGGGTTAGTCAATGCTCTTTTTAGGTAAGCAATAGTCACCCTCAAAGTGAGCTCCGAGCACTCATAAATACCTCAAGAGTTGGATATTAAGGTACAAAGTTGAATCCGTGTTGATGCAATAAAACACGCACACACCATTTATGTTTTCATGCAACTTCCTTCAGTGGTTTGCACGCTTTCGTGTGTTTCGGCATGTTTCTGATACCCTCTTAATGAGCGTAGCTGTGGTGCACGGTGTCACTGGACTCAAAAATAATCCAGCTGCCTTCATTCTAACCCGTTTGGATTGTATGAAACACTTGCTGGATATGAACGAAACGCTTGGATGATAATCAATGGACGTTCAGAGGCGTCCTGATTCAAGATGGCTGACATGCATGGATGTGAAGGTGGGGAGCGAAGACCCCCCCCCCCCCCCCCCCCCATCACACACATTTACTTTTTTCATGGACAGTTTTAGCTCATTTGGGATTTCTACTTAGTACTGAGGTCTTCTGATAATACCGTCTAAAAACAGGGGCCAAATTAGCAGTCACTAGTACCCCCACCCAATTGGCCTACTTGGGGTTTGACACCCCCCACCCCCAATGGCGCTTAAAAACACAATCATCCACACATTTCCACGCTGGTGATGATGAGCAAAGTAGCTACAGCTGCCCTGGGGTGCACTGACAGAGACGAGGCTGCCGTTTTCTGGTGGGAGCCAGGACCCTTCTGCTCTACCTCCTGAGCTACTGCTGCTTCTTCATAAACAGCATCTCTAGAGGTCCCTTTCTGTTAAAGGGGATTTTTCCTCTCCTCTGTCGCTACGTGCTTGCTTAGTATTGTTGTAAAGTCTGACACACCACTGGCATAATAAACTGAACTCAACACACCATGGACATAATTTGGGGGGGGGGGGGGGGGGGGGGGGCAGGGGGGACATGTCTTCCCCACTTTTTCTAAAGTCAAGTTTTGAGCCCTGCACTTTTTACCATCCAAAAACAATATTACGCCATATTAAAGTGACACTGGTTGAGCTCTAGGACCAAGCGGGAAACAACAGTTTGTGTTGAAGCCTGTTTCCCATTAGAACATACTGTAAAGATGCCTCCCCCCCCCCCCCCACCCCCACACTTCTAAAGTGAAAATTACGACCATGCAGCACACTGATAAGTAGCTTCAATTGGAGTATTTATTTAGTGAAGTGCCTTGAGACGACTCTTATGATTTGGCGCTATGTAAATAAACTTGCTCGGTTGATTAGACAGATGCTGAGCTGCAGGTCGGCGTGGCAGCTGAGGAAGGCTGTTGGAGACCAAACAAAGACGCACGAGGCAACAGCTAAGATGAGGACCTAACATCTAGTCCTGGGTGGTCCTGATGATGATCTCTTATCTGATGCTCCTGCGGGAAAATCCTGTTTCATTAATTGTGTTGTGTGTGGAGAGAAAGGGAGGACCATCCTACCCATCTCCTATCTCAGCTGCAGATGGATGAGCTGCGGGGGGAGGAGGGCACCCCTCCCCCGCTCCATCTCCCTCCCTCCTACAGCTGATGTAATAATCTCAGACGGTGGAGTATAATACTCATCCACAGGAGCTCAAATCGCTTCCAACTGCTGATTTTCCTTCAATTTTTATTCTTTAATTTTCTTTCTGGGAGTGAAAAAAAACCCTCATATATTTAAAAAAGTAAAACGTCACGCACACATGCGCATATAGGGAGGCACACTGACGCATACTCTTGTTGTATAGTTTTTTTCCCTCCTCTTTGGAAAATGTTTTACCGCATTCAACAGTCTCCTCGGCGCAAACGGAGCGCGCAGGGCGCAAATGTCTTAAAGTTGCGCCGTTTCGTTCTCCTCCTTTCTTTTTAAAGCAGCGGCAAGAAGAGAAGAAAAAAGAGAGAAAGGAGGTTGGGTGAAGTCGCTGAACTGATCACGAGCCCAAACGGACAGTTTAAACAAGGAGCGCTTCATGATTGCGGGAGTTTTCTTTCAAAACTGGGAGGAAATCTGAGATCTGCTCGTTTATCAAGATGTTTTAAAGCAAAGGAAGGATTTCCCGCTCCGGTCTGTGTGGATTGATTTTCCTCTCATGCTCCCTCTGCCCAGCATTCCCTCAGTCAGTCCACGGATTTTTGCCATTGCAGCTCAGTAGAGGGTGTCAGATCTTTCTTCGAGCGCCGCGCACGGATGATCTCCGTCTCCGGGTGATTTTTCTTTCCTCCCTTTTTAAATCTGTTAAATTTGGATTTTAAAGAGGAAAGCGGAGGGCGCTGGAGGAGGACGTGAAGCGGGGAGGAGGGGGAGGATATGCGGGTGTTTTGGATCTCCTGTGAAGCCCCAGCACCAGGGGAGAGGGGACAGCTCCCGACGCCGCAGCGCGCCGTACCGCTCCGGGAGGGTTCTCCAGCGTTTCCCCCCACCAAGGTCAGTCTGAGCGGCAGCGAATGTCTCTGATCACGTTTAGGACACGAGGGCTGCTTTTCATTAGAATCAGACACAGATCAGGATGTTTTTTAAACCTTTGATTAAAGCTTTTGAGTCTTGGATTTGAATAACAGGGTCATCATCCTGCTTATCTTGGTTTTATTTATTTATTTTTTTGGTTCTTTTTCTTTGATGCAGACTCCATTCGCAGATTGGGAATCATGAGTCGCTCACGCTGAGGGAGAGAGAGGGGGAGAGGGGTGGAAAAATGCTGCTCTGGATCGTCCTGCTGAATGCGGCTCTTTGTGTTGCCAGCGGAAATGTTACAAGGGACGTTTGTAAGGAGCAGGTCTGCTCGTGCGGCGAGGTGGAGGGCGACCTGCACATAGACTGCGAGAAGCGGAGCTTCACCACGCTGCGGCACCTGACGGGGCCGAGCTCGCAGTTCTATCACCTGCTGCTGCACGGCAACTCGCTGTCCAGACTCTTCCCCAACGAGTTCGCCAACTTCTACAACGCCGTGAGTCTGCATTTGGAGAACAACGGCTTGCATGACATCGTCCCCGGAGCCTTCTTGGGGTTGCAGTTGGTGAAGAGGTTGCACATCAACAACAACAAGATCAGGTCTTTCAAGAAGAGCACGTTTCTGGGCTTGGATGACTTGGAGTACCTCCAGGCTGACTTCAACCTCTTACGAGATGTTGACCCGGTTGTTTTCAGGGACCTAAATAAGCTTGAAGTGTTGATACTCAACGACAACCTCATCAGCGCTCTGCCCATCAACGTGTTCCAGCATGTGCCCATCACACACCTCGACCTGAGGGGCAACCGGATCAAAACTTTGCCTTATGAGGGGATTCTTGAGCAAATACCGGGTATCGCGGAGGTCCTGTTAGAAGACAACCCATGGGACTGCAACTGTGACCTGGTTTCTCTGAAAGAATGGCTGGACAACATACCACGCAATGCGTTGATTGGCAGAGTGGTCTGCGAGGCCCCCACCCGGCTGCAAGGCAGCGACCTGAACGAGACATCAGAGGCAGACCTGTGTCCCTCACAGAGCGGAGGCCTAGACACCAGCCTGGTAGCCCCTCCCACTCAGGAGGAGATCTCTCAGCCTCGAGTGAAGCCCACGCCTTACAAGCCGAGTGGGACCCCAGCGCCTGGAGTACGAGGCCCTAAAAGCCACTCAAAGTCTCGTGAGAACTGGCAGCTGAAAACAAAACCCACGCCAGTGGTGAATGGCATGAATGGCGACGGGGAGCAGCTGCACAATGTGACGTGTCCTCAGCCATGCAGCTGCAAGCTGGTTGGCTCCCGACAAGGATTGGGGGTCAACTGCGAGAACAAGAAGATGGAGAGCTTGGCTGGCCTCAAGCCCAAACCTTTAATGGCTCACGAGCTGAACATGAGAGACAACAACATCCATGCTGTGAAGAAAAACCAGCTGCTTGGCTACGCCAGCCTCAACCTGCTGGATCTGGGGGGGAACAACATCAAGATGATCGACAACAGCACGTTCCAGAACCAGAGTGAGCTCAGGTGGCTGTATTTGGATAAGAACTACTTGGATACGCTGTTGGCGGAGATGTTCCAGGGCCTTGTGAATCTGGAATACCTCAGTTTGGAATACAACGACATCCAGCTGATAGTGGCGGGCGCTTTCAGCCCCATGCCGAACCTGAGGGTTCTGTTCCTCAACAACAACTTGCTCAAGTCGTTGCCTGTGGATGCTTTCCTTGGGATTTCTCTGTCCAAAATTAGCCTGCATAATAATTATTTCCCCCATCTACCTGTGGCTGGCGTGTTGGAGCAGCTCAGCTCCATCATTCAGATTGATTTGCACGGGAACCCGTGGGATTGCTCGTGCAACATCGTGCCCTTCAAGCAGTGGACGGAGAAGCTTGGGGCTGACGTGATCGTCAGCGACCTCAAGTGCGAGTCGCCGGAGGAGTTCTGGAAGCGCGACTTCCGCTACGTCCGGAATGACCTCATGTGCCCCAAGCTGTATGAACGTGTGCCGCCCACCTCCCTGGCCAAAAACAGCACCTTCGCCCAGGACACAGGGACACACTCCTACTTGGAGCCCAGCCGGGTGTCCATCTCGGTGCTCGTGCCCGGGCTGCTTTTGGTCTTTGTCACGTCTGCGTTCACCGTCGTGGGGATGCTCGTCTTCATCCTGCGCAACCGCAAAAGGTCGAAGCGGAGGGAAGGGAACTCATCGGCGTCGGAGATCAACTCCCTACAGACGGTGTGCGACTCATCCTACTGGCACAGCGGGCAGTACCACGCCGACGGGGGGGCGCACAGGGGCTTCGACTGCACCACACACCTCTCGGTCACAACTGACTCGTAAAATGTGACGAACCACACTGGATTACAAACGACCATAGTGTGAACAGAAACTCAACTATGAACCAAAACTAGTCCGTCTGCTGCTGCACAGGCCCCGATCTGTAAAATATGTACATGCCAAACCCCTCTGGCTTACCCCCCTTCCCTCCCTTCTTCTCCCCCCTCCTCCTATCTGCCGCAATCGGACTACGGATCTCTGAGACAGAAAAAAGTGGAGGAGAAGAGGGGAAAAAACCAGCCAGAGACTGTGTGTGTGTGTGTGTGTGTGTGGGACTGAGAGAGTGTGAGTGAGCTGGGGAATGGTGCACGAACGCATGAATGTACATGTAAATACTCGGGACTGATGTATCATAAAACTGCATGATGATGATGATGATAATCCGCATGGTTTCAACAGACACACAAAGGCGAGGAACCATAACCACCAACAAAGAGGCAAACCTTTCATGTTCTATCAATATGGCGACTATATATATAGATATTAAGAATTATATATGACTATTACAAAGTGCCATTTCTCTATTTTTTGTGAACCTGCGGTTAGGATTTGTATTTGTTGTTTTGAACCTGTTGGGAGGGAAGAATCGGGAGGAAAAAAAATCCAGTCTGAGCGGAAGCTGTTGGTGCATGTTCCTTTTTTCTGTTCCGTCATTTTGATTGTCGATTATAATAATAATAATAATAATAATTATTATTATTATTATTGGGGTTATTTATACTAAGGTGGCTGCAGATTCCAAACCCACGTCTGCTCAGTCATCATCTCCTTTATGAATGTAAGAAAAAAACACAAAAAAAACGTTGTTCTTTTTTAAATGGTGTGCCAATGGTTGACTTTTTCGGGATAATTCAGACACGGCAGATGAGCACGACTGAAAGACGTCTCTCAGATGCCTCTGCTGCAAAACTTCATGTAGCTCCGATAACAGTTGCGTGTTTTTTTTATTTTAACTTTGTGTGTTGATGATCATAGCCTGCATCGATTGGTTGATCGAGGTAAAGAAAAGGAGGCAGAACGGAGGTTTATACCATCATATATTTGCAGAAACTGAGCAAAAATGTATTTTCTGATTGGTTCAGTCGATGTAAGCATATAGAATAGCAAAGTATTCCTCCACACGAAAAAAATAAGAAGCTATGAATCACTTTCATCATATTGTGAGCTTTTGTAAAGCCATCTAATCCTGTTCAAATACACTGTATTTGCTGGGAAAAATGTGCAGGAAGCAGGGCCGTAGATAAAGCAGGGAACTGAGGGGGCCATGCACAGACAAGACACATGATGCAAGATGCCTTTTTCAACTCAGCATTTTGGAAACTTGAGATACTCCTTTTTGGTTGCATGCTCTTTTTAATTAATTAATTTATCATTATTTTTGTGGACTCAAAAACAAAATAATGCCATAGCTGTTTGCAGCTGTCCTGTTTGGGGGAGAGGAGTGGAAAAAATCCTAGAAATAGTTGCTCCCTTACAGATTACTTCTGTTTCTGCTTTTTGACTCTTAAATATTAAAGTATGAGGCCTGAGTAAATACAAAATGATGTTTGCAAGTGGCAGTTTCACTTATGAAGGGGAAAAGCTAGCGAAGCCAACCTAGCACTGTGTAATAAATAAATACCCCATAACTTACTAGCTGAGTGTAACACTGGCAGTTGGAGGGCTTTCTAACATAGATGGCCTGCTTTAGGTCAAATGTCAGATATTCTTACTTAGGATTTTCTGTTATAGAGCAGCAAAGCAGCCCCAGACCATCACACTACCACCACCATGTGTGACTACACGTAGAGTTGTTAGTCTTGAGGGTAGCCGAGATGTTTTGTGTCAAATAAGAGTTGATACTGCATTCTACTTGATCAGCAGAGGTTCTGGCCATGCAGTTCTCCGATGGAGGCCATTTGTATCCCTTGTCTATTTATAATCGTTCAGTCAAGACCTCAGATGTTAATCAACTGGGGCCTCCGATGCTTTGTTGTGGGTACTTATATGTTTATATGTTGTTTTTTGAGATATTTTAGCCTTTTAGACTTGTTAACCTGTGAGAACTTGTGAGAATTGGGCCAAAATTAAAACTACTAACTTGCCAAAGTGGTACCTTTTTTAAAACAGCAGTCAAGAGCTGCTAAAAAGTCTCTCCAAGGGTCCCAAAGGGCCCTCGAACCACACTTTGGACACCTCTGATCGAGAAGGTTTGTTATTTTTGCAGATCTTGTAGAAATATTGTCTGAGTTAGGCTGGAGGAACTCAATTTGGATTTACTAATGATGGTAATAATGGTTCATCACAGGTAATTAATGACTTAGCAAGGGGTGCAAATACTTTTCACAATGGCCAGTTTAAAATTTTCTCAGTAAATGAAGTCATAATTGGAACAATGCTTGTTTTATTTACTCAGCTGTAAAATGGACATGTATTTGTTGATCTGAAAAATTCGACCAAAACGCAAAAAGTGAAGAAATCTCTGAGGGGGCAAATACTTTCTCTATAGCACTACGGGTCAAGCACTCACTTTTCTTTTCTGTTCTTGAAATGTTTCATATTTTTTGAACAATGTGAGAAATGCTGCGCTTGTTCACGTTTGTTAGTTTTTAACGTGACCTTTTATTTTGAACGACTGCATATCTGAAGAGAAAAAAAACTTTTTAGTCAAATTTATCAAATTAAACCAACATTATTAAGTTCATGGAAGAAGGGTCTACTCACCTGACCCCCCCCCCCCCCCCCCCTTTCCTTTTTATTTACCCAGTCCTCCCCACTGTCATACAGTGTATCTCTAGGCGCTGTCCATGGTGCTGAATCACTCCCCGATCCATCTCTCTCACTTTCTCAGGCACGTAGCTGTGCTCACTTGCTATGGGAGCGAGGAAGAGCATCTGTCGTGACAATTTTCAAGCGCCCCCCCCCCCCCCCCCCGCGCACACACACACACCCCACCCCCTTTCCAAAACATGTGACCACACAGCAGCATACATCTCAGCAGATCTGTGACACTCAACATAATTTTATTTTAGTTTCAGCCACCTGGCTTTTCTCTCCCCGCTCTCTCCTTCCCCCTCAGCTTTTTTCCCCTGTGATTCAATTATTTTTTTATTTTGGGATCGGGAATGGTTGGGTTGGTAGGTTGCCTCTATTCTGTGGATTATTACTGTGCCACAGCCCACTGATGATGAACTTGTCATGACTTTCAAACGCTGTGTTTCAAAGTTACATTTATATGCTTTGCGATATTTGACCTGCTTCTATTTTGTTAAATAAAGTGTGGTTGAGGTCGAGTAAAGACAAGTTGTTTCATTCTAGCTTTGATTTTCCACTCTGGATCACATCCAGGTTCATAAATTGGTGACACGGTTTACCTTTTGAGTTTATTACAGAGATTTGATAAGAGTCCTTACGGTTTCAGTCTGAAAGCAGCCAAAGACACAGAAACAAGGACGTGGGTGTAGAGAATCTAATATGTCAAATGTCTTAGTGCAGCAAAATGCATCCACGTGCTTTCATTTTATTTTCTGGGTCATAAAAAGAGCCCAAACCACAGTTTTTGCCTGGGAATCAAGCTCGTTGTACCAATTTGGTCAACAAGCTAAGCAGCTGAGCGCTCTCTAAAACGTCGCACATCCTCTGCTTGAATGCATTAGCGTCGTCAGGTGTTGCTGTTGCCACAGTTCTGGATGACTCAGGGAAAAACAGTGGGACCCATTCATTAATGGGTCTGGATAATAGCTGTCAGGAACAAGCCGAGTGGGCACTCAGACGATGTTGAGTCCGGCCTTCCTGCCATCGTTGGTCTGATTTGGCAGTTGACGCAACACCTCCAGCATGGATAGCATCATCCACGCACCCTCAGATTAGACATTAAGTCTCAAAGGTCTTGATTTGATTCATGTCAGAGCCTTTTCGTCCCCCGGGTGTGGTGAAGGTATTGTTAGAGGTTTGTTTTGGCTGGTTTCTTTGCTTTTATCTGCTGGTTGTTTGGCTCATCAGCTGTTTCTGTGCTGGCTCAAACATCCACATTTAGAAACAAGCAATTTTGCTTGCTAAAATAATGTATTTAATCTTAATTTTGGTCTTCAAATTTTACTTCTTAGATTTTTTTACGATACGAAGTAGCATTACTAGGTGAAAGTAGCATAGTAAAAGCCAGAAAAGAACTCCTTTGTGCTCCTGAACGCAGCTGTTCTCATCTTTATTATCGTAATAGAGGATCATGAGTGCTTTTTTTTACTACACTATTAAAATTGTACATTTTATTAATATTGTATTACTAATCTGACATTTATTGTCTTTTGGCTACTTTCACAGTCTGTGGAGGTCAGAGAACTTCCTCCAATCCTTCACAATAAGAATCTCAAACACGCATACACACATACCTCAAAACATCTAACCTTTAAAAAATAACATTACAATATTTTATAGAATGCCTTTTCAGATTATGAGGTAGTTGTTTGTCCATAACACTTTAATTGTAATGGGCTAGAGAAGTGGTTCCCAACGTCGGAGTGAGGACCCCTCTGTGGGTCACCACGGGGGGTGTTGAGATGATTACCCGAAATCAAAATAATTGAAAAACAATTGCTGAAGCTATATTTCCAGCAACATTTTTACAAAATTTTTTCGAATTATTTAACTTTTCTAGCATGTTTGTATTGTACGATATCTGAGGGTGCACGTCTAGATAATTGTTAATTTGTGGGTTTGATGGTGAAAAGTTTGGGAAACAAACAAAAAGACTGCACCTTGCATCCATAAAAGACTATTTTTTACAGTTTACTCAGGTAAAATGCACCCTGAACCTTCGGTTATGATGATGACAAAATTAGAAGAACTACAGACAGGTTCAAGAGCTCAGTATTATTTGTTTCCTCAGTCTCCTTTGTAAAAACAAGAGAGATCACTCATTCAAGCTGTTTCTTGTCTCATTATGATACAGGATGAGTTTTGGTTTCAACATGTCCTTATTATTTTCTTTTTGCGACATGACCAAGCTGTTTTCCATTTTCAGTGTTATTTCTAGTTGTGGTTAAAAAGAGTCAACAAGTGAAGCTTTAAAAAGGCTAAAAGGTAAAGTCTTTGTTGTTTATTGGTTGATTTTGGAGCCTTCGATTTGCTTCCGCTTGAAATTCAGTTGCAGTGCTCGATGCAGGCATGAGCAATCGATACTAGACCAAGTAGATGAGTATTCATTTCAGCCAGTCCAATCTGGCTACTTTGATCATGTCACCAAGTTTGCCAATATAAATCTAGAAGAACTCACTCTAGCTCAGCCACATTGTTCTTATGGTTTGTGCTTTTTGACTTGATCCACAATTGATTGCTCTTCCCTGTTTCTAGCGTAAAAACTGAAATTTTTGAGAGTGCAAATCAAAAACATAAATGCCACATTTTGTCAAAGGATAAAATAGTGTCTTAACCTCGTGTTCTTCTCTGATGAGACTTGTTCTCTTCCATGGTTGAATTGAAACAAATGACGAAAAAAACATGTTTGTCTTGTAGCACGTTAGCGTAAACAAGCAGAGTTAAAAACACCAATCTTTCCTCTTTGAGTTTAAGTATCTGTGTCTTGCTTTTATCCGACTCCCACCGGTCGTATTCAGTGTGTCAGCTCTTGTTTAGGTTTTTGTTGAAAATCCCCCAAAGATCTTAAGCTCGGGTATTAGCTTTTGAAGTTAGCTTTGATCAAAGTCCCATGTGCTGCACTAAAGAGCTGCCAGCAGTCCCACATTTCCAAACTCTGCAGCCCTTTGCTGCTGGTATTAGCCCACAGGAGTGGGGGTTGGGGGAGTAGCAATGCTTATCTGGCATTACACCATGGGGATTTTCATCGTGTTGCTCCCAGATATTATTTTTTATTATTATTAGCCCCCATCCACCACGGAACGCTTAGCTAATGAGTCTCAGCATTTGGATTTTATTGGTTGTTTGTGAGCAACAATGCTGCAGTTATGGGACAACTGCCATTCTTTAATGTGGTGCTTGGAAGCGGTGTCGGTGATTAGCTTTGGTATTAGCTTCAAGTGCTTTTACATGAAAGGAAACATGCGGGTATTAGCGTATGTAATCGCAGAGCTACGACAATGAAAACATTTCCTAAATACATGTTTGGGATGGGCTGAGATAGGCTTTTTCTGTGTTAGCATTCACTGAACAGTTAATCACTTTTCCCATTCTTAGGATGTTGGTTTTAGCTAATCACCAAAACGGCAATCTAAGGAATACCTTCATCTTTTTCCCAGGCAGTGATCAGCGGTGGTTTATTCAAACCCGATCTTGACCACATTAGCAGGCAAATAACTCACGTCTTAATTTTTTGCCATTTTTATTCTTGTACATTGATCAATTCTATGTAGGTTTCGTAGACGACTATTAATGAGAATATATGACCATACAGAATGCATTTATCATGGTCACAAGAAGAAAAAGTAGTGTGAATGTGTACAGGTCAATGCAAATCTTTCAAATGTGAGATTTGTGTGTAAATGTGAGATCTTACTAATTTAAAGGAGCAATATGTGAGAATTCTACAGCGAAATCATCAACAAACAGTCTCAATCATGTTGGAAGGAAAGTTACATTTGTTGGGTTATTTTTTAATAAAACCAGGTCACCTTAAAGAGAAGTCAAATGCACAGAGGATTAGAGCATAATATTATTCAGTTTTCTTTGCAAAGGGAGAAAGGTGAAGCAATGACCATACAGACCCATAAGCTTGGTTCACACAGTCTCAGAGAACGTCCGTTCTCTCAGGGCTTTTATTACACACACAAGCAACGCACACACATCACGTCACATTCCTAAACTGCTCCGTAGCCATTCAGGTGGAAAGCTGTTTAATGTGGGGAGTAAAAACAATGCCACAACTCCCTCATACAAAACCAGGTGCATTCAGTCAACATTCTGTTTCCCATGGGAATATAACTGATAACACAGACCAGCATTGTCTGAGAAATGTTGTTGTCCTCCCTGTTGAGACGGGAAAGCTGGCAAAGGATAGCACTTGCATTTTAATGAAGCGACAGGTGTTTTACTTATAAGGCAGCTATGATTTTAACCAGTAATGTCAGCGAAGAACAATTTTTCTATATCAAAATTGAAACAAATTTCCTTCTCAGCCGGCTTGGAGGTTGTCCGTTTTTCTCCTTCCAAAAAAACTAAAGGGATGTGTTTAAATTCGGCAAGCCAGAGAAGTTGCTGAATCCGAGCTAGCTGCAGAGCCAGCATTTGTAATTTAACACCGGCAGGCAAAAAGCTCCAAAGTTGTTTCTTTCTTCTAAGACGTCATGGCATCTTTTTGTCTCGTCTCGTCTCGTCTTCCTCCGCTTATCCGGGTCCGGGTCGCGGGGGCAGCATCCCAACTAGGGAGCTCCAGGCCGTCCTCTCCCCGGCCTTGTCCACCAGCTCCTCCGGCAGGACCCCAAGGCGTTCCCGGACCAGATTGGAGATGTAACCTCTCCAACGTGTCCTGGGTCGACCCGGGGGCCTTCTGCCGGCAGGACATGCCCGAAACACCTCCCCGGGGAGGCGTCCAGGAGGCATCCTGACCAGATGCCCAAACCACCTCAACTGGCTCCTTTCGATCCGGAGGAGCAGCGGTTCTACTCCGAGTCCCTCCCGAATGTCCGAGCTCCTCACCCTATCTCTAAGGCTGAGCCCGGCCACCCTACGGAGGAAACTCATTTCGGCCGCTTGTATCCGCGATCTCGTTCTTTCGGTCATTACCCAAAGCTCATGACCATAGGTGAGGATTGGGACGTAGATCGACCGGTAAATCGAGAGCCTGGCTTTCTGGCTCAGCTCCCTCTTCCCCACGACAGATCGGCTCAGCGTCCGCATCACTGCAGACGCCGAACCAATCCGCCTGTCGATCTCCCGATCCCTCCTACCCTCACTCGTGAACAAGACCCCGAGATACT